CTCTCTCTCTCTCTCTCTCTCTCTCTCTCTCTCTCTCTCTCTCTCTCTCTCTCTCTCTGTCTCACACAAACACACGCACGCGTGCGCGTGCAGGACGCCGAGTGGGAGTACCGCCGCGCGTCCAACAAGGTCCGCTTTATCAACGCGGTCATCAAGGGCACACTCGTCATCAGCAACAGGCGCGCGGGGTTGCGAACACGCCGGCCGGCCGTACTGCACCAATGCCGTTCGGGCGCGGCGCGGGTGGCTGACAGGCGTGGAGCCGCGAGCCCTTGACTGCATTAATAGCTTTAGACAGGACGAACGCCTTACGTGTGTTGTGCTTGTCAGGAGGTCCTTCCGTGCGTGCGTGACCGTTGGCCTTCCACACCTGGAACCCCCGGATTCCCAACAGGAAAAAGGCTGACGTGGAGGCAGAGCTGGAGTCCCAGGGCTTTGACCGCATGACCAAGAAGAGCCAGGTGTGCGTGCGCACACACACACACACAAACACACACACTCACACTCACGCACACGCGTGCGCGCACGCGAGCTGACATGTGCATGTGCGCGTCTTGACAGCTGGCTGCAAGCGTCCGGCCGGCCTGAGTACCCTCGGCCGCAGACCTGCTAGGCCGACCCCTGCTGCGCCCGCTCCGTCGCGCCCCCGCCCTTGGCCGCTGTCCGCCCCTGCGTCCTCCACCTCCCTTGATCCATTGATCTTCATGTCATCCCTGCAGGCCGGCTCGGAGTCTGGGTCGGCCGACGCCGCCGACGCAGGGGAGGAGGGCCCTGACGCCGACGGCGGTGACGTCAGTGGCGGCGGCAGCGGCGGCGCCAGGGGCGGCGCAAGCAGGGCCAGCTACGACTACCTGCTGTCCATGGCGCTGTGGAGCCTGACGTATGAGAAGGTGGCGGCGCTGCAGGAGGACGCGGACGCGGCCAGCGCGGAGGTGAGGGGCGCGACGCTTGGGATGGGTTTTGGATTTAGGAGACGCGGGTACGGAGGCATGGCGGGGACTGGCAAGGGGCGGACGCTGCTCGCGCGTGCAGGCGTTGTGCGGCACCTGCACATCACACTAGAAGCAGCAGCGCCCCACTCCCTGCGTTGCTACGCCGCGGCCGTGCCCCTCCCCTGGTGCATTTCTTGTCAACCTGCTCCCATGCCAGCCGCACCCTCTCACGCTACATCCGCTCCCGTCCCGCCCCAATCCTATCATAGTACGTTACACGAAATGCACATGATACACGACATGTCAAGCCCTCTCCTTGCCCAGATTCCAACCGCCTCCGTCCCCAACCGCCTCTCTCCCCAACCGCCGCTAGGTGTCGCGCCTCAGCGAGGCGGACATCCGCCAGATGTATGAGGACGACCTGGACGCCTTCATGGAGGTGGGGGGGG